TTATTCACTGACTGTTGGCTTTGTGACCTTAGACAGGTTGCTTATCATCTCTGGTCCTGGCTCTTTCTCCGAAAGTAGGAGGGACAACAATACATAATCTCATGGGATGGTTGTATGAAGTGAATTAGGTATAAAGCACTTGGCACAGTGCAGGGGACACAGTAAGCACTCAGTATATGTTGGCAGTGACTGTTGCTAATATTACTATCTCCAGGAGTGAGAAGAGCATATACTTAAGATAAATGTAGAAATTATTTTATTTATCCTGATCCTAGTATAAGAAGAGCACCTAATATGTATGGGCCCTCTCTCAACTGATCCTCCCCATAACTCTTTTCTTTCATTTTTCATTTGTCATAGAAGGCTCAGATAGTTTGAGTGACTTTCCCAGGGATAAGAAGCCAGTTCATGAGAACCAAGCCGCGTACCCAGCTTCCTAGGACCTGTTAGGAATCAGCACAGGCTTATTCGTAAGAATGCAGCATCCTGGGAATTTGCCTTCTTTCTATCTAATCCTCCCCAATTTTAACTCATTTTTTGTCTTTTGGCAAACTCTTCTCCCTGAACCTCAATCTTCTGATCTATGAAACCAAGGGTGTTTGTTGACAGGACATAATGGCAAGTGCCTATAGTCCCAGCTACTCAGGGGACTGAGGCAGGAGGATTACAAGTTTAAGGCCAGCATGGGCAACTTAGTGTGGCTTTGTCTCAAATAAAAAATAAAAAGGGCTGAGGATGTAACTCAGTAGTAGAGTTTCCCTGGGTTCAGTCCCCAGTGACACAAAAGAAAAATAAAAAACATAGGAGGGTCTGTGACAGCCAGGGTAAGTACTGCTAATTGCTATAACAAACAATCCTTTCACCTCAGTGGCTTAACACAAAGGTTTATTTCTTGCTCAGGGCACACCAGGTCAGTGGGGATGGGGGAATCCCACATACTCATTCAGGGATCTGGGCTCCTGCCATCTTGACTCAGTCTTTCCCAGGGCCTCAGAGATCTCCCCCTAGCTCCTGAGCAACTGGCCATCAGATGAGGAAAGGGGGGATGAAAAAGAGATGCTGCTCTGAACCATCTCCCCTCACCTCTGGACAAGACTCACTTTCATTCACATTCTACAGGCAAGAAATAGTCATGGGGCCCCAGCTAGATACAAGGGACTAAAAAATGGGTTCCAAACATGTGCCGAGAGAGAGAAGGTAACTCAGACCTGTGACCACTGGCCATCTCTGCCCCAGGGGTCAGCCAGATCTCCACACTGGAGCACAGGAATCGGGACTGTGGGACTCTCCTCCCCAAGCTGTCCCTCCGCCTCCCTCCCCCCTGGGGAGGAGAGTCTGTCCCTGCCAAGCCTCGAGGGTGGGTGGCTGGTGAGATAATGATCTTCCCATGCTTATTGCCTCTTGGAAGGCAGGTGCTGGAGAAAAACCAAGACCGCTTTGATTTTTCTCCCTGTTTCCTTCACATTCCTTCCCAGAATAAATTCAGCCAGCCCTCGCTCCGAACAGCAGTGCCTGGGATGCAGACTTCTTGTTCTCCACGTCAGTGTCAGAGTGTTTCTCGTGGCCATAGCCTTAGGCTGGGAGTGAAGGCCCAGCCTTTACCCTGATGCCCATGCCTATGGCCCATGCTCTCGCCCCTGCCTGCCTCATTGGCATCAGCTGTCACAGCTCTGAGACAGGGGCCTTGAGTTCTCCAGTGATGTAGAACCCAGAATCAGTAGGGCTTTGAGACAGTACAGGGCTGCCTGCACCCTTAACAGCCACCTGGAGCCGAAGGCAAATGGCGTGGGACTAAGGGTGTGGCCTTCAGGGTCCGCAGCACAGATCAGAGCCCGGCTCAGGCGAGTTACCTTCTCATCTGCCTCATCTAGAAAATGGTTCAACAACCACACATTCTTCCCGAGAATAACTGAGCTGCTAGGGCTAAGGGATCTGCGTATACTTCCGGTGCTTTATAAATGGCTGCGGGTATGGAAAGGGTCACGGTCTCTACTTACGCTCAGGCCAACCTGGAATCCAGGAAGACTTCCGGAGCCTCTGCCCACTGCAGATACTTCTTTCCCAGACTTCTTAGAAACCTCCTAAGAGGCCTCCTCAGAGAAGGCTCTTGGCCTGATCACACCATCTTTAGAGAAATGATATCCTTCCGATGTCTACCTGTCATCCTGCTGCTGCAGCTTGAATCCATCCTGTTCCCTTGGTCTGTGAAGCTCCCTCCCACCCACCACCCAGACAGAAGTTACTAGAGTTAGAGATGGGTCACCTGTCCCACCTGTCCCCGGCCTCCAAGCCTTTCCTTCTCAGGCCGAGTGGTGGCAATGCCTTCAGCCTCCTCCCTGGGCCCACTCTCATTTCACCCTGGGCCTCATGGACTTGAGAAGACCCTCTTGCCTCCCCTGCCTCTCCCTCCAGCTGCAGAGCTCACAGGAAATAACTTCCTAGGTCCAGCTCCCCCAGGGGCCTTTTTCTCACCCGTCTTCCACCTTTGCTGGGCACACAGGTCCTGGCCTTGCCCAGGCACCGTAGAAAAACTGTGCTGGCCTGTGCTCCCGCACCCCTTCCCCACCCGACAGAGCTCCCTAGGCCTGAGCTTCCTCCTCTGCCTCCTGGGGGTGACTAGGGTAAGTGTCCTGGCGGTGGGAAACAGTGGGTGGTCTCCAAAGAGGTGATTAGGTGAAGGTGCTATTCACAAAGATGCACTGGGGTCAAGGAACCAAGGAGGCTGGTGGAAGACCTCAAGGCTAGCTGCCAAGAAGGCTGGCATGGGCAAAGAGGGGAAATTTCCAGAACCTGGAGAAATCCACAGCTGCAGGACAGGGCTGCCCTTCAGGTTCTTGGCCTTTGAGGGGGAACTGAGCCATTGCTTGAGCCTCAGCAGACTAAACACCCTGACCCTCCTGTTCTCCCACCCCCTGAAATTTTTGTGGGTCTATCTACAGAACCCGCCTGCAAACTGAACAGGGCAACTGGTGGAAGCTGTCTCTTAGATGAGGCTCCTGGGGCCCAGAGCTGGACAAAGACTGGCAGAGACTGAGCACGAAGGGGCAGGTGGACAAAATCACTAACAGGGGTTTCTGTGGTGTCTGCCTCCAGGGTTCAGTCCCATGAAGTGTTTACCTACCACCACTAGCAATGGGGGGGCGGGTGTATGACCACCCCTATTTTTTAGTCATGGAAACTGACACCCTAAAGACTAAGTAACATCACTGCTAGCAAGTGATGAAGCCAGGTTTTAGACATCTCTGCCTCACTCCAGATTTCCCCACTGCCCGAGGAGTTGGCTACAGCCAGAGCATAGCCAATGTTTTATGATTGAAGGTGACCCTTCCCCATCACAATTATCTTCCTCCGGTTTCTATAATCCCTCCATTATTGATTTGCTTGGGCTGAGCTTTTCCTTCTCCCTGCTGTACAATTTCAAATGCAAATATCTATGGAAGAGATACCATTTCCGTCATTCGAAAAAAATTTCTTTCTTTCTTTCTTTCTTTCTTTCTTTCTTTCTTTCTTTCTTTCTTTCTTTCTTTTTTTTTTTTTTTTAATCCAGGTGCACTCTACCACTGGCTACATCCCCAGCCATTTATATTTTATTCTGAGACAGGGTCTAAGTAACTGAGGCTGGCCTCCAACTTGGAATCCTCCTGCCTCAGCCTCCTGAGCAGCCGGGATAACAGGCATGCACCACCGTGTATGGTCATTCATTGAAAACTTCCAGGGAATGAGTTCTCACCTCCTTCTTTCTGCTGGGAGAGGCCTGTGAGTCTCTGGAGGCAGCCAGCACTAAATAAGAGCTGTGTTGACCCCAACACTTGCAGAATTTTCTGGGCTTTTTCATTCCCGGCATCTCACTTAATCCTCACCACTTTCAAGGAGACTGACATCAGGAACCCATTGTTCAGCTGTGGGACAGTAACCCAAAGAGATTAGGCTGCACTAATGTTAGCATTTGGGCTATGCTGGGCAGTCATGCAGGGCCAAGTGCTCTAGATTTCAAAGCCAAATGACTAATGCCATAAAATCCCAAATCCGGCGCTTACTAATTGAAACTACAGACAAGGCCCCTCCTCACCACAGCCTTCTGCAGATGGGGGTATGGACTGTCCCTTCTGTGTGGAGTGCCCATGCTGTCTGTGGAGAGAATTAAATGTGGTCATTCTCAAGTCCTCAGCACAGTTCATGGCACCCAGCACCCAAGGTAGAGAATAGTCTTGGCCAAGGTACCAGACAGTCTCGGACTTGGACGAAGACAGCATTGATTCTCACCAGTTGGGTGACCCTGAACAAGTGACTTCACCTCTCAGAGTCTTTGTGAAAGAACATTCGCTTCCCTGTTGCATAGGACCCGGGCAGGGATGAGAGGAGATGAGGTGGCTGGAAGCACTTTTTTTCCCACCACTCTATAAATGTAAACATATTTCTTGAGCAAATAACAACAGTCAACATCAGCAAATATTTGCTGAGTTCTTATTTTGTCCCAGGACTGTTCTAAACCCCTAACATGTGGTTTCATTCAATTCACAAAGGAACCCTGTGAAACAGGATTTTTGTATTGTCCCCACACGCCAATGAGGAAACTGAGTTTCAGAGAGGTTAAATAATTGGCCCAAGATTGCACAGCTCGTAGGTGAGAGAGCCAGGTTGAGAAGGCAGCAGAGGCAGGAGCACCTGCAGTGAGCTGGACCCTGGATCCCAAATGAGTAGCATTGAAGAAGCCCAGAGTCCAGCAGGGTCTCAAGCTTTTGTACACATAGGACATCAGACCAACAGAGATGCTAACCCTGTGGGTTCATGGTGTGGCCCAGGAAGCTGCTCTTAAATTCCCACGATGAAGCCTGTGTAAGTGGTCAGGTAACCAGCCAGGAAGGACGGTGGCAAGTGTCTCACCAAACCATCAGTAAGGGCTACTTTGTTGAGGGTCATGGGTCCTCTAAGGACCCTGCGGGCTCGGACAGGAGAGAAAGGAGCCCGCAGTGGGACCCATTTTCGCCCCTGGCCTCCAGGTTTGCCAAGTACTACAAGATGGAGAATGGCAGCGAGTACCGCACGCTCCTGAAGGCTTTCGGCATCCGCTTCGACGTGCTGGTGTATGGGAACGTGAGTCCTGGGGCCCGGCGTGTGGACAGCAGGAGGGGCATCCCAGGCCAGCTGCTGGGCCCTGCAGGGGCTGACCAGAGGCCACATCTCCCGTCCCCTCACCTGTACCATGAAGGGGTGGGCCCTGCCGTTGCTCTATGGCCCTGTGAGAGTCTCTGGCTGGGAGACCACGTTCAGCCTCAGTTTCCAGCCGTGTTCCGGCCCTCTGCCTACTCCCCCATCTTTGCGCACACAGGCCGGCAAGTTCAACATCATCCCCACCATCATCAGCTCCGTGGCGGCCTTTACTTCAGTGGGAGTGGTGAGTTCAGCCTCTGGGGGGGGGGGGGTCAGACGGGACAGCCGGGGTGGGGCCCAGGAAGGGGTGGAGCCAGGGGAGAGGGCGTGGCCAAGGCGAGCCCTACCTGGGCTGGAAGGTTAAGGCCCTGGGTTGACCGCCCCCAGCATTCCCACAGAGCTCCTTATCCCGGAGTTGCCTTCCAGCAAGTTCCACATCTTACAGTTTCTGGTTCTCATCGTGAAGGTGGGGAGGAGACTCCAGAGCAAGGTGGCGTCAGAGCCCTGTTCCCACAGACTCCTCCCTCTAGATCCTTCATTCCTCTCTCCAAGCTCTGAGGGTGGTAAGGGGCCAGGAAGGTGGCCATGACAACACCTGCAAAGCCCCTGGGCATTTGCTAAGGGGAGTCATCAGTCCGGCCTCTCTGGAAGAATCGCCCCACGCCTGACCCACTGTCTGTCTGGGGGCAGCTCAGTAGCCACTTGAACCCATGGCTTCCAGCCTCCCTGATCCCACCCCTCCCAGGGCCACCTCTCTGAGCCTGCCCTGCCTCTCCTCCTCCAGGGGACAGTCCTCTGTGACATCATCCTGCTCAATTTCCTCAAGGGGGCCGACCAATACAAAGCCAAGAAATTTGAAGAGGTGAGTGGGGTGGGGGTGACACGTGGAGGGCCCTGGTGACTCACCTCTTGGGGTTCCCTGGAGAGAAGTTCAGTGGGCCTCAATAAATATTGGACGTCCAGACAAGAGAACATTTGGGGAGAGGACTCTTCAAAGAGCTTTGGAGTTCTGTGAGTCATCGCTGTCAACAAGTCCCCACCCACTCATTGTCCCATTTCTGCAGGGGGACACATCCTGCCTTGGGATGGCTCAGGTTCTTCTTTGTCCCTGGAGTACATGGGAAGAGTCTTGGGATCACACAGGCTTGTCTAGCTCCCCTAATGACCAGGTCATGGCCCCGAACCACCCGTTGTGTCTGACGGTGTTACCGTTGTTGACCGGTGACGAGTCCTTGCTTCCCCAATGTTAAAGTATAACACCAGAGAAGCACGGCGAGGCAAGTTTAGAGTGGAAAGTAGAAGCTTTATTAAAGGACAGCAGAAAAGACTTCTCCCAGGAGGAAGAAGAGGACCCAAGAGGTGGAATCCATGGAAGGGCGATGTCTTCCCCTTTTTATAGCTAAGGTCTTCTTCAGCTTTCCCGCATTCCTGTGGCATTCCTGTCCTTTGTTCTGTTAACTTTCAGTGATGGAATGTAGGTGGAAAGGCCCAAAGGGTGGGGCACAGGTGGGCCAAAGGAGTAATCTGGGCCGGAAGGACTTTTGGATTAGCATCTCCATCTTTGCTGGGAGCTGTTTCATTAACTTTTCTTTGGGATGGGCTCTGGGCCTTGGGCACATTAACATTCCAAGAGTTGTTCCACTTTTCCTGGACTCCATTTTCAACACAGCCTTCATTTTCGATTTTACTCGATATTAGACCTGATTTACTGAACTACACTAACTACCTATCTTTAAATCTGGCTTCAACGGGACCTTGCCCTGTCACAGCAAAATAATGTCAGTCCTTCTGCCTGCAGGTGAACGAGGCAACACTGAAGATCGCCAACCCAGAGTTCTCCAGGGACCAGGCCACAGAGGAGAAGCAGTCCACGGACTCAGGGGCTTACTCCATTGGCCATTGATGCCCCACACTCACCCTTGGGCTCCAGGCCTCCCCAACAGGGAGCCCCACTGGCAAGGGGGGTGGGGAAAAATAAGGGTTCTAACTTCTGTGGCCCACCCCATGGGGCCACGGCTGGGAGCCAGGGGACTGGGCCTCTCGTGCTCCTGCAGACTGGTAGTGCTCTCCCTACAACCTCAGTTCACCTTCACCCTCTGCATGCCCCCATCTGCTTCCTGGGACTCCGGGACTGCAACACCTAAGCTGCCCCCTTCCAAAGAGTAGAGATACTAATAGTAATGACGGGTGCCCACAAGGACTTACCAAGTGCCAGGCACTTCCACACGCACTGTCTCATTTAATCCTCAGACAATCCTCTAAGGCAAATACTCATTTCCCTGTTTTGAAGACAAACTGAGACTCAGAGAGACTGAGTCAATGGTACCAGGCCACACAGCCAGGAAGTGAGAGAACTGGGATTTGAACCCAGGTCTGACCAACTCCTTTGCCCATACCCAAAAGAGAAGAAGGAAGTCCCTTACTACAACAGCTGCCCGTCCCTGACCCTGATTAGGTTAATAAAGAGTAACCCCAAGCTTTCCCAGGAACTCAGGCCCCACTGTAGGGGAGCCTATTGAGACAATGGGTCTCATCTCTCACTTGGGTGGGTTCCTAGTTCAGAAGGAAATAGGAGGCATGACTGTCCCACAGCTCAGTCCCCAAACCAATCCGGGAGCCAGATCAGGCCACGCCATGGGGGGAGGTGATTCTGTGTTTGTAGTTGGGCCCTGTCCCAGCAGCTCAGCAATCTTTATTTAAAATGTCAACGACAAAGCTGCAGTGAGACCCAATGTGCTGTGAGCTGCTCAGCCAGGTAGCCAGCCTGTCCTAATAGATGGTAGTCTTCTAAGGTAGAACCTAGAGGGGCCTCACCAATTTGTTCCTTACAGACGAGCAAACTAAGTCCAGACAGGGAAAAAAACTGGTCCAGTTCCACAGAGTTAGTGGCCAAGAGAGAACCCAGGTGTCCTGCTGCTCCGAGGAGGAGGAAGCTGGAAAGAGCATCACCCTGGCTCCATTGGCCCAGATGTCCCACTGTCTCCCTTCTGGGCTTTCATACACTGAGAGGCCCCCAAACACACCAGGACAGAGTTCAGGGGAGACCCGGCCATTAGGAATCCCACACCATACACAATTTAGAAGCATCTCCTTAAAACTAATATGAAATTAGGAATTAGAAGAGGCTCATGCAAGCAAGAACCCTGGGGTATGAGTTTCCTGGGATTCCTGGTGAATCTGCATCTGGAAAAGCTGGAGTGTGGACATGATCATAAGGTCTCAGCAAAAATGAGCTGAATGATAGATGGAGGGCTGGCCCCTCACTAGAAGGTGCAGGGAAATGAGGCGGGGGCAGGTCTGTGAGCAGTTTGGGAGGTTCACACTGGGTGCATCTGCAAAAGCCCAACCCCAGTGATCTCCCATTTCAGGGGGAGAAGGGGCAATACTCCCTCACATGAGGCCCATAGCTCGGCCCTCACTCACAGTCCCCTCCTCAGGGTGGTGGGTGACATCACCCCAGGGCCAGCCTCAGGAACTGGGCAGTGTTGGGAGACCTGACCAAACTTCATTTCTCCAGCAGAGACATCAGAGAAGGCCATGGCACGCCCTCCAGCCAGGAGTCCCACAGGCAGCCCTGGTGAATCCAGCTCTCAGGAAGACAAACTGAGACTCAGAGAGACTGAGTCTGAGGCTGGACTCACAGGGATGCTAAGAAGGAGATGGAGGCAGCTGTGTCCTGCAGAGGGACCCTTTCCCCCAGCTCCTCCCTTTCCCCCAGACTGGGGTGATCCTCCTGCAGGTGCCTCAGCCCCTCCTGAGCTTGCCAGTAAGTGTATGTGAGCCTGGTGCTGTCCTCCCCATATCTGAACCCAGTACCACTTCTATGTGCTAGACGTAGGGCTAATATCAGTACTAATGACAACAGCTAACTTGTCTCTGTCACGTCGTGGTTTGCTCAGCACAATCACCAACACAATCACATGGACCTTCACGCCAACCCTGGTGAGGTTGCTATGGTTTGTTATTAATCCTGTTTGATAGAAAAACAAATTGACAGTAGGTGGAAATTCGAGCTGGAAAACCATGCTCACGCCTAACACTACATTGCTGCTTTAATTACTCAGCATGAAAACTAGCATTTTTTGATGCTCACCCATTGGCAAGCAAGGGCTAAATGTGTGACAGGCAATGCCTAATTCAACCCTCGTTTTACAGAAGAAGAAATTGAGACTTACTAAAATGGAGAGGTGGAAATGAGAAAACTGGTACTTGAACCCCAGCAATTTGTGATTCTGGAGCCTGGGATCTTGACTCCTGTGGTCTATCTGGGAAAAAAATCAAGAAATTTGTTGACACCTTCTTTTCTATATGTCTTGGGCTTAAATAGATTTTGCTTCGGTCACAAGCAAAAGCTCAAGGTTTAATCAAACAAAGTAGGTCAGACAACCCCTTCCATCTGGTAGCTATGCCATCAGAGACACATGGGCTCCCAGGTCACTGCGACAGGAAGAGTGGGAGCTAGAGGATCATGGGAATCATTTAGATACCAGGCCTGAAAGTGGCCTACTTCTCACCATATCCAATAGCTAGATTCAGTAGCAGTCTGCAGACCCAATTTTAGTGCAAGGAATACTAGGAAATACAGTCTTCTTGGGTCTCCAGGAAGAGAAAACTGTGACCACAGCACTGTCTTCTCTTTTGTAATATTTCCCTCCCCACCCACCATGCCCACCATACCCACTAACAATTCCACACATCCTTCCCTTGTGTGTTTTTTCCTAAAAAAGCTTTGTTCTCAGCAATTTGTCAATTAGTCTCCCAGAGGAATTAGTAGTTAACTTTCTAGGGAATTTCTTCTCTCAAGAGCATTTGCTTTTTAATCAAGAGCTATTCAAAACCAGAAGGTCTTAAACAGCCAAATGAACCAATATATAAAAGTTGAAGTAGAGACCCAATAATACACAGCATCAGATTTGAGGAACCTACTCTGGCCTGCCCCAAGGAAGATTCAGCCTGAGAGGATTCTGGCCTCCCTCTTTCTTTCTCCTCCCTGCCTCGATCTCTGGTCAAGATATTGGGCTACTGGCTTTGGCTAGAGGCCATTTGCCACGAGGGAGGGATGTAGAGGTTGATGAAAGGGGACTTGGCATCCAACTGAAATACCATTCCCATAACTACCTAGGTAGAGCTCCCCTTCCCTCTCCCTGGAGTTGGATTCCACTATTCCTTTTAGAAGCACAGCATCAAGCATTGGCTTATTGCAGTGTTCAACACAGAGACCTGCATGAGGCCCTACCCCCCAGGCAGCTCCCTTTCCATACTTTGAGGAGAATGATTACCTGACATGCTGGGATTAGAAGCTGGCTGACCGATCTCCATCCAAGGTGGAGGGATGAACACTTCTACTGAGGACAGGTCTTTTCACCTCAAGTTCCTGACGGCCAGGATCAGTGAGGTTCATGGCCATACCAAGGCCCATTCACCTGCATCCAGAGATCTGCCCATGTTCAAAGGACTCATCCCTGTTGTTTCTCCACCACCCATACCCCAGGGCTGACCCCTGTCCTCTTCTCTCAACCCCAGCACTCTGGGAAACAGTACATTTAGAAAAAATGAACCCTAAAGCCATATTCCATCAAGATGCAAATACAGATCTCTGTGTACACACTGGCTATCTGTGTCAGGTACACACTGACACATGAACACACTCACTGATCAAACACACAGATATGCATACACATATATAATACACATAGAGATTCAAGCATGTAAGGACACAAAGTTACACAGACATAAACATTCATAGGCACACACGTACAGATACACTCATAAATACATAGAGGTATAAAATGTATGTGCACTCAACACACAAATACATGCACATTTATGCACATTCACATGTATAGGTTTTTATATGCAGATACTCACATATATAAAGAATACCTCAAATATATACCAAAATAGATACATACACATGTACATGGGCGCACATAGAAATACTCCTACACGCCCCCCCCCAACACCTTTCTCCCTCCCTCCCTCTCTCACACACACACAACTCTACCCTCTTAATACCCAGTCTCAGCTCTAAACTTCCTGCTTCGTGAACTCTAAATCCCTCTTGGAGCCCAGTGCCCCAGCTGGCACAAAGTTAAGGCCAAGGACAGTGTTCTCTCGCCAACTCCCCAGGGTCTTTTTTTTTCTGAGAAAGTGGGTGAAGGAGAGAGGCCCGAGGCTGTATAGAATGGGGAATGGGGACCGTGCTACCAGCAGACATCTTGCCTCGGGCTGCAAGGCCCAGGCCGGCGGGAGGCAGCTTCTTCCTAAGACTGGCCCCTCTGCAGAGGTAGGCGGCGATGGAGGAGGTAGACTTTCTCTCTGCTGGCTTATGAACAGAGATGGCTGCAAGAACCGGAAATGGGAGTCATTCTCAGAGGCCAAAGAGCACAGGGCTGGACCAGAAGCGGGTTTCCCCAAGACAAGGTACTTTCTCCCAAGTGGCGTCCCCCAAGTGGGATCTTCGCCTGCATTTTGGAAAGCCGCCCCGCCCCGCAGCTCACACTGAATCCGTGCCAGGCGGGCTCCCCACCCGGCACCGAAGGCGACCTGCCCGCCGCGGTGAGCGGGTGCAGAGAGGCAAAGCCGGCCGAGGGCGCGCCTGGCCCCCGCTCCGCCTCCAGGTGGCGCTGCCGCGCAGCAGCTCCGCACCGCCGGCGGCGGCCGGGCTCCGCCATCTTTCACTTCCCCGCAGAGGGGAAGGCTTCCAGGACTTTCCCAAGCTGGGGAGCCCCCAGAAAGAGCAATGAAGAAAAAGACCCAGGGAATGCTGTGAGAAGTGTGGATTTATGGCCAGGAGAGGCTGGGGGCAGAGTCCAGGGCCGAGAGCGGGGCAGTGGCAGCCAGAGGCCTGAGGCTCCAAGGCTGGTTCACCGCGCCACTGGCTCAGAAGGAGCAGACGAAGGGCAGCTGCCTATGGCACGGAGCTCGTCGCCAGTGGCCATCTGGAAGTAGAGAGCACAGTGATGTCAGCTGCCTCTCTGGGTCTGGCCGATGCCCCACCCCTTCCCTCCTAAGGTACCTCGGATGTCCCTTCTGCAGCCATCGTCATTGGGCGTTGGACACACTAACTTACATTTACCAAGCCATATCATGACCTGGGCTATGTGCTAAGTGCTTTCCCCGTCGACTGTCACCTTCTGTCCTCACCTCAACTCCAAGAGGCAGGTGCTGTCATGATCCTTGTCCCACAAAGAGGAGACTGAGGCTTGGTAGAGATCAATAACTTGCCTGTAACCTGCCTGGCAAGTGGCAGAGCTGGAATGTGACTCCTAGCCCTCTTGCTCTAGCACATATGGTCTTAGCCACTAACTAAACTCCCTCACATCTGCCGTGCATGCTGTTGCCCACATCTGCTGTTTGAAGCTGGCATCTTGTCTCTCAGCCATCTCTAATTACCACACCCGGCCTTCTCCTTCATTCACACCTTATATCCATGTGTCGCTCTCATTTTCACATTGACCACTTGAATCTGTCATCCTCTTATCAGAGGAAGTTAAGGACCCCCAGCCAACTCCCTCATACCTAGAGGACCCCTGCCACCTGGTTTTATTCAAGGGATCCCTGTATCTCAGCCTTTCTCACAGACAAGTGATAACTCACAAGTTGGGGTTGGATGTGAGCTTAAGGAGATGTGTCCAGGCAGCTCAAAGGGATAGCTTCTGAGAATCCACTTTGTCACCCCCTTCTCCTTCCCCAGGGGCCCATTCCCCTCACCTCCAGTACATAGGGTCACACAGTGGCCTCCTGAACACCCAGGTTGCCCTGAAGCCCAATATGCAAAATTCCAGGAGCTTCCATCAGTCCAGCAAAACTTCTTCCACAGGAACTGGAGAAAAGATAAGGCAGATCAGAGGGCAGAGGTCTAGGAAGGCAGATCCAGGTACTCAGAGATAGCCACTGCTGCCTGCCTGGCCAGGAGCCAGATACCTTTGCAACCTATTCCTGAAGCTTTGTGGGCAATGGTAACCGTTTGTCCCAGCCATACCACAGAGCAGACTTCTCCAACCACACGGGAGGATCTTGCTAACATGCAGATTCTGATTCAGGAGACCTGGGGTTGGGCCCAAGATTCTGCATATTTAACAAGCTACCAGGTGATGCTGATACTGCTGGCCCATGGACCACACCTCGAGTACCAAATATAATGGCATTTATTCATCCACAATCTCAGAGCCACCCCAAGATAAGAAGATCCCTATTGTAGAAATGAAGAAGCTTAGGATTCCTAAAGCTCTTCAGTTAGTAAGTGACCAACCTGAACCTAGAATCTGTCTCATGACTTGAGTGTTATCCTGGTAAATGTTTTTGAAACCAGCTCTGGGGAAAGGTGAGAAAATGGGAAGTAGGAAGGAGCCCTGATGTATAACATGATATTTTGGGTTCTGAAATGTCCCACAAAGGCCCATGTGCTTGTGGTTTGATCAGCAGCCCATAGTGTGATTGGGAGATGGTGGCACTTTTAAGAGGCGGGACCTAAGCCAAGTGCTGGGATAAGTCCCAGTGACTCAGGAGGCTGAGGCAGAAGGATCACAAGTTGAGGCCAGCCTGGGCAACTTACTCAAAATAAAAATTTTAAAAAAGGTTGGGGATGCAGCCCAAAGGCAGTTCACTATTGGGTTCAATCCCCAGTACTCCCCAAACCAAACAAAAATGAGGCAGGGAAGCAGTTAGGTCAATGGGGGTGTGCTCTTGAAGGGGATTCTGGGACCCTGGCCCATTCCTCTCTTCTTTTCTTTCCTGTTGCGATGAGGTGAACACATTTCCTCTGCCATACACTGCTGCCACAATATTCTGTGCTGCCACCGGTCCAAAGAAACACGGTCAAATGACCATGAACTGAAAGAGTGAGCCAAGATAAACCTTCTTCCTTAAAAGTTGATTCTCACAGACATTTTATTGGGGTAATGAAGACTGATGGACATATAACAACTGCCAATATCCTTGGTGTAAAGGATACCATGTCTGATTTTAAGCTACCAGCATGGAGTTAGCTCAGAGATGTGTGTAATTTGTTCTCTCAAAACAGCACAAGCCAGCTCCGGCACTTGTTTGCTTACCCCTCTATGGACACCTTATCTGTGCTAGGTTAAGGCTTGGCCCCAGCAGGTGCTCCCTTAAAACAATCAAAAATAATTTTCTGTACTGAGTAGTTGGCCCCGGACTTACCCAGCCCCTGAGGACGCCTCCAATCCAGATCTGGGCCTGGTTTATCTTACTGGCCAAACAATGAACATGATAGTTGAAATTGTAGTTGTGAATGGAGACAAGGTTGCCTTGGTAGCATCTCCTGCAGACATTCTGCAGAGATAAGGGGGGAGGTAGAAAATTCACTCTCTTTTTTCTCAAATTCCTGAGTCTCCAATCAAGACACCTACAACCATTTTCAAGTTAGAAATAAGGGACCTATTTCTCTCCCTCAATAACTTTTGCTCCTTAATCATTTGCCAGGGCATTCTTTCAGGAAATAATAATAATTATTATTATTAATAATACTTATTTATAGTCACTATTTACTGAGTGTTAATTCTAACTATCCTGAATGCATTACCTCAGTTAACCTTCACAACTCTAAGATATTGGTAGTATTCAGTCAGCTTTCTGTATCTGTGGGTTTCTCATTCACAGATCTTTAAAAACCACAGATCAAAAATTTTTAAATTGTATCTGTACTGAACATGTACAGACTTTTTTTCTTGTCATCATTCTCTAGACAATACACTATAACAGTAATTTATGTAGGATTTATACTGTATTCAATATTATAAGTAATCTAGAGAAGATTTCAAGTACATGGAGGGAATTGCACAGATTATATACAAATAATTTGCCATTTTTATATAAGGGCCTTGAACATCTGAAGATTTGGGTATCTATGGCAGGGGGGGAGGTCCTTGAATAAATACCCCATGCAAACTGAGAGACAACCGTATTTCTTCATCTTACAAATGAAGATACTGAAGCTCTGAAAGATGTGGCTACTTGCCCAGGTGACAGACCGTGGAAAGTATAAATAATATTGAACACAGATGTATCTAATACCCATGATTTTGTTCAAATTAGTGGTTCTCAAAGTGCAGTCCTCAGACCAACAATATCATTGCCACCTGGGAATTTGTTTCAAATGTAGATTCTCAGGCTCAGCCCCAGAAATTGTGGGAGTAAAGTCCTCAAATCTGTATTTTAACAAGACCTCCTGGTGATTCTGAAACTAGGGTTTGTGGGCCACTAAGTTAAACAACTAGAGAACAGAAGTTTGGATCTACTCTCTTCTCTGAGCCCCCATTCCCCTTCCCACCCTGCACCGACGCTCCTGGCCACTTACCTGAGCTTGAGAAAATGTCTTTGGAGTTTGTACCAGCAGATATCGACAGGTTTTGCACCCAGAATCTCCCTGAATTTGAACAGTATCCTCTTCCCTGGGGCATAGCAAGTTCTGCTCTAAAGGAGGTGGGCCTGACTCCACAGCCTCCTCATCTTCAAAGGCTTCTTGATACCCTGAAGTCTTGACCTCATCGCCCTCTACTTGAATCCCCTCTTCAGTCAGGGCCAACTCTCCCTTCTGCTCCCCTGAGCCATCTGGATCCTGATCCAGGTCTGTCTCTGTCTTTAGGCTCTCCAGATGGGGGGCATCATTCTCTAGGAAGAAGAGGTAGCCTGCCATCACATCAGAGGCTCCCTCCTTCCAGGACCACGGACAGCTCCAACCATCCTGCTCAGGTCCTCTGGAGCCAGCCCAAACGGCCTCCTCCATGTTGGATGAGGAGAGATGTCTTGGGTCAGAGTCACAAATGGATGAGAACCTGACCCCTGGCTGACTCCAAAGGTGTACATTTGGGGGCAGGAGGAAGGAGCATGTGTGAGAATCTTGGGACAGCCACCAGCTCTTCATCTTAACAGGTGGGTGCTTACCCCTTATGAAGGAACCCTGAGAGAAAATTCAGGTCCCAATTCTAAGTTCAGGCTAATCTTGCCAGAGATGGGCCAGATCAACTGAGGAGGAGAGACTGGCCCTGCCCCATGGGAGTAAAAATAAAGGGAGGGGAACATTAAAAAGAGGAGAAAGGAGAAATGATGAGTGAGAAGGGGATGGGAGGACTTACTTACCCAGATAAAGAGCAGAAACTGTCCCCAGCAGGAGAAGGGCTAGGTGCAGGGGGTGTTTCATATCTACTCAGTCTTGTAGCCAGACACAACTCCGCCTTCCTCCTCGAGGCTGTCTGTGTGTCTAGCACAGCCCCTGGCATATAGTACAGCAGCAATATTTGTTTAATTAATTGATTAAAGGACAAACTAGAGGGCTTCCTCTTCCTCCAGTGGACAGACCCTGAGCTGAAGCATCTGGAAAAGGAATGGGGAAGGGACAGCACGGGTACAAAAGTCCCCTTTTCCTGAAATCCTCACACAATCCTGGACCACAATCTCAGACCTTATAGGAACAGGGCTGCTGAGTTCCCTCATGCTGGGGGAGGAGTGAGGGAGGATAGTGGCCATCACTGACCACCTCAGGACAGGTCTCCTGGTGTTTTCCACCTGAGATCCCACTTCCTCCCAGGCTCTGAACACCCCCCTCCTATGGCAACAGGAAGAGTACTCACCTTCTGGCTCCTCCAAGTTCAGTGCCTCTGGAGGCTGCGCCCCACAAGCAGCCTTTATGCTGGGCTTTTGGGGAAGTGGGAAGGGGCCAGGATGATTGCCCCAGGCCAGGGCTGGGGCAGTGGAGCTGATAACAACTGTTGGCTCAGTCTTCTTACCTCTGGGTCTTGCTCTCTCCTGGGACTGCAGGGCCCTGCCCTGTCCAGCCTGCTGCCCTGAATGGGAGCCCACACACACTGTCTTGCCTGGCTGTCATGCCTATTGTCCAGGCATATTATTATTAGTGTCCCTTAAAGTTCTCCATCTAGCCGGGCATGGTGGCATATGTCTGTAATCCCAGCAGCTCAGGGATCACAAGTTCAAAGCCAGCCTCAGCAAAAGCAAGGTGCTAAGCAACTCAGTGAGACTCTGTCTCTAAATAAAATACAAAATAGGGCTGGGGATGTGGCTCAGTGGTTAAGTGCCCCTGTGTTCAATCCCCGGCACACCCCCTAAAAAAATCTAAATAATATCTAAACAATGCCCCTTAACTCAGGAGTAGCCTCCCATGATCAGTATCCCAGAAGTAGGGACCTCGGGGAGCAACACTCTCTTGAGCTCTTATTTCCCTTCACCCATTTCCACCAGGAATGTTTGACTATTTGTGCTTCACAGATGTGAGAAATGAGGCGTAGTGGAGGAACACAATTTGCCAAGGTTACACGGACAGTGAAGGAACTAGGATTTCTAAGTCTCTCTAGCTCCAACTCTTTTCTCCCCTCCTCCCATATCCTCACCCCCTGCCCTCCCTCCCTCTCTTTCTCATTTTTAGTGTGTGAAAAACCTTGATGTTTCCTCTGTACTGAAAATCTAGATCAGGGATTGCTAACCTTTATACTGTTTATATTTGGGGCCAATTAATAGTTGTGGGGGGCTGCCCTGGGCATTGTGGAAAGCTCCACAACACCCCTGATATCTACGAGATATCATCTTACTAGATGTCGGTAGCAGCTCCCCTGAGAACAACCAAGAATGTCTCCCCTCATTTCCTAATGTCCTCTGGAACATCTGGGGATCACTGATCTAGAACATGCCATTGTGTCCAACCTCAAGGCATATGTCCATGGCTGGCCAAGAGGCGGAGCTAGAATGAAAAGCTACATGCAGAATCTTCCAGACACTGATAGGTCACCTTCCCACCCCAAGTTTACCTCCGCTCTCTTACTAGAGGCTGATAGGAGAGTCCAGAGTCGGAACTAGGATCAGCCAAGTGAGGCCCTCATCTTAGATGCAAAATTTAAGGAGGCACTAAAAAAAAAAAAAAAATTCAGTATGCAGGATAAATAGTATTTTAACACAATCTTTCTTTAAAGTCAAAATTAATGCAAAACATCCTTGAGGAACAAAATATCAAAATTCTAACCTACCAAACCCAGCCAAATTCCCAGCAGTCCAAAGAAAATTCAGCAAATGCTGAGCCCTGGCGGCCAGATTGCTCTGCCAAGACTGTGGAGTGGAGGGGGGCACTCAACTCCAGGCCTCCTACTGGAGAGTGCACATTTGTTGCCCATATTCCAGCCCAGGCCTCCAAGGCAGCAGGGACAAGTAGCCCGGAGGGCCAGGAGGCCTGGATCCCTTCCCCTCCTCTGCTCTCCCAAGGGAACTACAAATGGAGAAGTAACCGAGAGGTTATTTCTGGGCCTGGTTGCAAAGTAACTGCCTTGGCTCTTATCTCCCTGGCCCAACGAACCAGACCTGCTTATCTACCTGATTGTGGGAGGATTGGCCAATGCCAGGGCCCAAGAGCCTGGTCAAGGGATTTCAAACTTGAGACCTCCCTAGTAAGAAGGGAGAAGAATGGACTCCCTTTTTCCATATTCACCCTCACTCCCTCACCCCGGAACCCAGGCCAGGGCTCCATTCTACCTGTGGTCGGATGACCTATTATCTTGGCTCTCTCAGGAGGCAGCACCTCCATCATTTTAGAGATGAGGAAATGGCATCTCAGAGAGCCCAAGAGCACAGAGCAAGTTGGAAACCAGCCTAAACCCAGGTCTTCAGGCTCCTTACCCACCCACAACTGCCTTCCTCCAGCCTCCACCCACGGACCTCCCTCCTCTCCAAGCCCATTCCCTGCCTCGAGTTGACTCGTTTTTTTGTTTTTGTTTTGCACACAAACCTCAGGCAAAGACATTCTAATGACTTCAACAACCTCATCAATGACCACAATGGTGATGCCTGTCTGAGTTAAAACTAGAAATGACTTTTTTTTATTTTTTGTACTTGGGATGGAACCCGGGGCACTCCACCACTGAGCTACATCCCCAGTCCTTTTTATATTTTGAGACAGGGTCTAACAAAGTTTCCCAGGATGGCCTTGAACTTGGGATCTTTCTGCCTCAGCCTCTTGAGGTGCTTGGAGTACAGGCATGTGCCACCATGCCTGGCTCAAAAATGACATTTTTGAAGGTCCACCCCAAACTAGATCCTACAACATAATCTTTTAAAAAATCATTCTACAAATTGGGTATTGTCATCTCTACATATTTACTACAAAATCAGGAGAGGTTAAATTACTTACCCAAGTTTCACAAACTAGTAACAAGTGGTATGCAGGACCCTAGTCTGTCTGACTTCCTAGTCCTTGTTTGATAGACCCAAACGTGCTACACCGTCTGGCCAGTGGTGCCAACCTTTTCAACGTACTTGGAACACCAAGTCTTTAGATGACTGTCAGCAGCGATGTTTACAGATTTAGTCCAACCCTACACTACACAAAGGCTGGGTCTCATCGTCTCTAAAGTCACATGGTCCAGCTACTCAGGAGGCTGAGGCAGGAGGATCACAACAAGTTCAAGCCGGGGTAACTTAGTGAGATCTTGTCTCAAAATTTTAAAAAATGAAAAAGGACTGGGGTGGAAGCTCAGCAGCAGAGTGCTTGCCTAACCTGTGTGGGGATCTGGGTTCAATCCCCAGTGCCAAAACAAAACCAAAAAAAAAAACAAAAACCCAGGCACATGGTGTGGTGTACAGTGAAATCACAAAGCCCAGAGTCAGCCACTCTGTTCCTCAGTTTTCTCATCTGTAAGGATAATAATAGGACCTTCCTCTAATGACATCATCTGGTTGTGAAGTTGGGAGTGGCTCTTGTCAGTCACCTTCTGAGATGAGGCACGCGGAGCTGCGGGCGGCCCCGTCAGTGAGTAAGGAGTGAGCGCTGCGTCCTTTGAGCTCTCTGCTGCTCTGCTCTTTGCACCGTGTACAGAACTACACACGTGCCATTCCCAAGGGGTGATCTTCGTTTCCCAGAGCTCAGTTAGCTTCTTGTCAGAAAGAATTGCACACGCACAGCAATTCTCCTTATTTCATGATCTTTACTTTAAAAAAAAATCTTTTTATGAACAAATAACATGCACCCTGCCCCGTGCACTGGAGAGTGGACGGCAGAGGGAAGCTTCACAGTGGGCGCCACTGCGAAACCACACCCAGAACAATAGACGGAACAGGATGAGGAGCCCTGAAGCCTCCCTCCCGCCTCCTTCTTGACATTATCCCCCAAAGGGAATCTCCATGGACTGAGAGTCAACACACACCCAACCAAAGAGATGTGTGAGGAAAAAGATAAAATCCACCAACCACTCCAATAGAACCTAGCACATAATAAGTGCCTAGCAAATGGGAGACTTTATTTAAGAGTGTGTGTGTGTGTGTGTGTTTTGCTGGGGATCCAACCCAGGCCCTCATATATGCCAAGCAAGTGCTTTTCCACTGAGCTACACCTGTGGTCCCTATTATTCTTTATTATATGAGGAAACAGTGCCCTTTCCACGTTAGAGTATAAAGTCCATGAGGGCAAGGACTGAAAGGCCTTCAGCTACATTCTCACAGCATCCACCACAGGGCAGAACCCATCGTACCTGTTTCACATGTTGCCATCTGTGAAACCAGCGCTGCCATAGAGCAGTGTGTGTGTTCTGTCTCTTTCTCAACTGAATGAAAGACCCTGGACAAACTCCTTCCCCTCTCTGAGCCACACTCAAAAACAATGAGTTCTTGTTGTGTATCCGTCTAAGACCCCTGTCCCATGTTCTATGAATTGTCCCATGTTCTATGAATTTGAAGATTTCTAAAGGGAAAGGGCCTCAGGGCATTGACCCCTTTTACTCTGCTGGCCTCCCTAGTGGAGAAGGGGTTTAGAATGCCTTTCTTCTCATGGAAGCTTCCTCATCTCCAGCTGGGTGAGTCTTATGTCCCAAGAGAAACCCAGGAGTGAGGGAGAACAGCCAAAGCCTCCAGTCATGGGGTCATAATGGTTAAAGAAACAGACTTTAGAGCAGCTAGAGTCAGATCTTGGCATTGGATGCACTCCAATGTTTAGTCTTGGGCAAGTCTTTTGACAAGTCATGACTTTTCTGAGTCTGCTTCTGCAAAGTGGAAATAAGAAGGATTGATTGCACAAAGTCATTATGTAAAATACCTGCCACAGCTGGGGGTACTTTGTGGGTGCTCAAAAAGTGGTAGTAATGAGCAACTTATTGAGCTTATATTATAAAAAACTACATGAGCTAGAGGTGATGGTGTATACCTGTATTCACAGCTACTCAGGAGACTGAGGCAAGAGGATCACAAGTTCAAGGCCAGCCTCAGCAAGTTATCAAGACCCTCCCCCATCTCTGATGCATAGCAAGTTGTCTTCTTCTGGGTTTTCCCAGAAGCAGAGCTTGAGGCAAGGATTTGAGTGTAAATACTATAGTAAATTTGGGAAGTGCAGAGATACTAGTAGGAAGCAGAGAATTCATCTGGGGAAGAGCAGGCAGCCAGTACAAGGTGTGTTGTAAGGCCAGTCACTTAATGGGTAACCGAGAAGTGGTGCCCAATACATGCCATGGATCTATTCCATTTAAGGGGCAAAGGACTGGGGTGCTTATGTACCCACTTCTGAGAGTTGTCTGCTGTTCCCAGGGACGTGTCAATTTCCAATCACATCAAACCAACCATAGTTCTGGAGTTGGGAGAAATGAGTGGAAAAGGCCCTTGGACACAGAGATGTACATATAAGCCCACCCAAAACCCTGGAAG